GTAGATGGAATGGGCATACACTGAGAAGTTTGACTGAGGACATCACACACCAGGGTGGGCCGTTGAGTGGAACCCAGATGGGAAGCGATGAGTTGGGCGTGCGAGGCGAGAGTGACATGGAGGAGATGGTGTGAGGAGTAAATGATAGCTTGTGGGCTATTGTGGAGCCAGGTTGAAAAGATTTCAGAGAAGAGAGAGCTTTGGAGACGTGCTACTGTATCCCTATGTTCCATTAGGAACCCAAGGGACAAATAATACTACTAATAATAATATATTAATCCTTAAGAATGCGAAACTAATGAATGAAAATTTTCAACAACAGAAAATCATCATTTTATATGTTATATGTCTTAGTCTACATAGTTAAAGTTACACTGTCACATTATTTCATACAGTGCCTTCCTATCAGAAATTGAAATTAAACAAGAACAACAATTTTAGGAGAATAGCATGAATCCATTCTATTTCATGGTTTCTCGTTAGCTGCTTACAACCTTCGTAAGGTGATTCCTTAAAGTTCAAATGGTAAGTTGTGATTAGTCGAGCCAAACAAGTAGAACATGAGAACATTTACTCAACGACAATTTTGGATATAGGTCACACTATGCTGTGAACTAACAGAAGTTTGAAATATGGACTATTGGATACCGACTGAGTGGCTTACCTCGGATACAGAAGACCCGTTTTAGTATTGGCCAACTTGCATAACCTCTCTAGCTAATTGGTGAGATACCTGACTATCTTGTTCTGTCCTGTTATATTGCTGTGTGACGTGGCTTTTAAAACTAAGAGACATGAAGTGCTTACAAAGTTTCAACCACATGTGTCTTCGGAGCACTGCTTATTGTGTGAGATATGTTGAAGTCAGATGAAAGAAACAAGGCAAGGAAGGCAAGTTGATTGATGAGGTTGTGAACCTTCGTCTAAAATGGTTTGGACACGTACTACTTATGCTGAAACACCAGTACGTACGACGATGTGGTTAGATAGGAAGGTGTCACCAATCCATGAATACTTTCATTGTTGGTTTGAGTTGTGTGGGGGAGATATGGACTACCTGGTTGGGGTCCTCAAGATGATTGGAATCAGTAATTGAGGAGTCTAGGAGACATGACTGGAAATCGGTGATAATGGTGCAGATGTATTCATTCTTAATGGTTGAATATTTGTTTGTTCTCTCTCACAGCTTTTTATACTACTGTGAGTTGTGGTAACGTGAAGTAATGCACTTGTGTGTAAGGTTCTAGGTTGATTTTGTTTGTCTGTCTATCTGGAGTCTATATGTTATGGTTCCGGTGATCATTCACTCATTTATGAATATCTAACTAAGCATATATCCTTTCAGTAATGATGGGTAGTGGCTAGTAGTGGAATCCTGGATGATCATTTCGTCCTATTTGGTACTCGTCAGCTGAATTTACCTGCATCCCAGTGAGTGATGTTGTTCTCACCGGGATTTGGACTCGGGACCGATCACTTCAAACGCAAGAGTGTTATCCACTACAACACCGAGCCACAATAACCACTTCTTCTGCCACAGTGATAATATATACCATATATTTTATATTTCCGTTTGTTTATTCTTCTTTCCTTACCGAAATATGCTTTCTGTTAGTGTCACATTCTTTCTAAATACATCCTTACTAGTGTGCTTATAGGTTTTATAGAAAGTTGGCTAGGTTAGCCGTCAATTTGGTGAACCACTTGTCTGTCAGTTATGTGAATGAATCGTGCCACCTAAAATTCAGTAAAATGTTCCTTTACACATCAATTTTGATTCATTTTACGTTTGAAATCTCAAGACCTTTTTACTGATTACTTTAAAATTTAAGTACACAAAACTACTTTTCAATATATTCATTATACTAAGTATTAGTATTTCCTAATGAGAATATAAATTTGTTCCATATGATGTTTCGCTATTTAGTGCTAACCTTTTTATCACAAACACATTAACATAAAATCTCTTGAAATATTTAACCCCAATACTTTAATCCCTACAAAAGCTCTCAGAATATACAATAAAGGAGTCACTTGATTTTCTAATCCAAAAGTTTCTTCAGTTAAAAATGAGAAAGATGATGACAGCCTAAATATTATTTCTCATTTGTTAGACTCAGACACAATATTGATAGAAAGATATCAACTGAATACTAGTGATATCATCAAAGCAATAAAATTTGGCTTAGAGTCTACTTATGTCCAATTTAAAGGAAACCTATACAGTCAAACTAACGGTGTTGCTATTATCATTATTTTTCCCTTGGGTTCCTAACGGAACATTGAGCTTGAGTAGCACGTCCTCACCCCACTCTGTTCTCTGCAAACTTTTCAACCTGGATTCATGACTACCCACAAGCTCTCATTTCTGCATCACACACTCTCCTACATGTCACCCTCATCTCTGACGCCCAACTCGTTGTTTCCTATTTGGGTTCCACTTGAGTGCCTGTCGCGTGATGTCCCCAATCGGTCTTATCAGTGCATGCTCAATCCATCTCCACTTCCTTCCATTGCGTATTTGTTGAGCGATAGGTTGTTGGTTGGTTCGTTGCCAGAATTCCTTGTTGCTTATTATTTCTGGCCATCTGATCTTCAGTATCAAGTGGGCGTAGGCAGTTGTTGATGAATGTGTGCAGTTTGTTGGAAATGCTTTTCGTAACGCGTCAAGTCTCTGAACTAGATAGAGGCACTGACTTGACTGGATTGGCGTTAAAAATCCGGATCTTGTTCACGCTTAATGCTGAGTGTAGAAGATCTCCACACTGGTTTCAGGTTGATGATCGCCGACAGGTCCACCTATTCCAGCCATAGTAGCCGACGTATTTGTCAGTAAAGTGATAGAAAGTGTCTTCAGTCACTTACTAAAGCCAAAAGTCTGGCTGATGACGTATTCGTAATTTTAAAACGTGACTTATACCAGGGATTCTTAGATTAGCTGAACTCAGCTAACAAAAAGAAACGGATAAAGTGGAACTGCCTTTCTTTGATTGTCTTGCTGAACTGAAAGAGAATGAACATTTAGGTATAACCATTCTCAGGAAACCAACACATTCGAATAAATATTTAGATTTCAACTCATCACATCGAATCAGTGCGAAAGTTTCTGTTGCCGCCTCTAGTCTTTTAAGGAGAATATACACTCTAATAACGTATGAAAATGAAAGTGTTGAGGAATTAAAATATATGAACAAGATACTTAAAATGAATAATTACCCGGTAAAATTGATTCACAAAATAGGAAATAACATTAAATTAGATAGTAGAACTACTCCTAATTCATGAGCCTCAACAATAGTTATCCCTTACAGATCACACTCACATCGGATGAAATTAGGAGAGTATCGGAGAAATACAGAGTGTTCTACAGAACATGCAACACATTTCACAACATCTTAGTTCATTTGAAGGACGACATCCTCTTGGATTCACAATCTAATTGTGTTTATACAATAAAAATGCTGAGGCTGCATTGTGGTATATATAGGACAAACTTACCATGAAATCAAAATTAGGAAGAATGAACCGTAAAAAGCTGCCCACTCGACCCCCTAGAAATACATTGAAGTTGAAAAAACCTGAAAGTACATCAATCAAGTGTTGAAATTATTCAGAAAGGCCACAGAAATTACTAAGAACATTTCATAGCAGAATCTTTTCACATAAAGTAAGATCAAAATTGTCTTGATAGGAATGAAGGAGTATAAACGTAGTTTCACCTTGTCACAACCAACTCCCAAATACTGACATAACCAAGGCATATAGGTGGTAAGAACTATCAACAGCTGTTTACTTACAAATCTCAGCCTATAATTCACACACACACACACTACAGATGGATATCATCTTTATTGTACAATGCTGACAACGCAGAATCATTCATACAGAGTAAAGTATATCAAGTTATCATATATATAAGCTTGGGGGAAATTGTAAATCCAAGTCTACTATAACTTTGATAAAGCCATTCGCATTAAGCATAGCGAAACGTGAATAGAAACAAATTTATTTTGTCATGCACTATCATTGGGGAATACAATTACCAAGAATAGTGATTATCATTTACCAAATGTCAAAATTTTTTTCAAGACATCAAATCCTAACTTTGCTTTTATATCTATATTATTATTATTTGTCCCTTGGGTTCCTAATGGAATATAGACATTCAGTAACACGTCTCCACAGCTCTCTCTTCTCTGAAATCTTTTCAACCTGGCTCCACAATAGCCCACAAGCTATCATTTACTCCTCACACCATCTCCTCCATGTCACTCTCGCCTCGCACGCCCAACTCATCGCTTCCCATCTGGGTTCCACTCAACGGCCCACCCTGGTGTGTGATGTCCTCAGTCAAACTTCTCAGTGTATGCCCATTCCATCTACACTTACTTCCATTACATATTTGTTCAGCAGTAGCTTCTTGCTTCGTTGGTTCGTTGCCAGACAGAATTCCTTACTGCCTATTCTTATTATTCTGGCCATCTCATCGATCTTCAGTAACGAGTGAGCGTAGATGGCAGTTGTTGATGAATGTGTGCAGTTTGTTGGAAATCCTTCTCGTAATGCGCCAACTTTCTAAGCCATACAGGAGCACTGACGTGACTCACTTAGTGTTGAAAATCCGGATGTTGTTCATGCTCTATGCTGAGTGTAGAAGATCTTCACACTGGTTTCAGGTCAATGAATGCCTGTCTCGCTTTTCCGATCCTGACTGATTTTGACGTCCTCGTCTGTATCTGTGTCGTGTCTGTGCCTGTGCCTGTGCCACCTGTAGTTGAAACAGTGCTGCCCAGATAGGTGGAGGAGGCTACTTTCTTTAAGTTTCTCCCATTTATGGTGATTGGTGCCTCTTGTTGTTGATGTTGTTGTTGGTTGGGTATTATCATCACCTCTGTCTTCTCTATATTCACTTGAAGTCTCATCTTCGCTGCCTTTTTGATATCTATATACATTTAAGTATATGTATGTACTACTCATTGTTTCTTGTTTTTCTTTTACAGAAGGCTGAGGACAATGATTCAATCTCAGCATTGGGGTAAGCTATTGATTTCACTACTGACAAATAATATTTGAAACATAATACTAAATGATACAATGAACTTGACCTGTCAAACTGGATTGAGCAATGATTACTACAAAAACTTGATCAAGACATGTAATCTTGAAAGTTCAACATCAGAGCGTAACCAGTCACCCTTCTATGTGTTACAGAGTATATGGAACACACATTATACTTGAAAGCTTACGATCAAAATGAAAATCTTAGGCAAGAAGAGATTAGCATTTTGACTACCTGAGGTAGCCATAGTTTGGTAGACTGGTACTGGTACTAAAATGAAAATCTGGGCCGCAATGGGATTCAAACTGGTAACGTTTAGGTTTCCGGTTCGCTGTCTTACCAACCGGCTTATGAGGTACGACTGCTAACCGGATTTTTATTTTACTTCAATCACCAAAATCTGGTTAGTAGTCAGGTCTCGTAGTTCAGTTGATGGGGCACCAAGCTGGAAACCCATTTCTATTTCGCATTCAGTCATCACCCAGTATCAATGCAAGTCTGAAAACACACGGCTGGAATTCATTATGGGCTGCAACTGATTGGATGGGATTCTTCAGGAGTGAGCACTCATGACCCCACCCCGCCAGGAATCGAACCATGAGCCTTCGGGTTCCGTGTCTAACAAGTTATCATTGAGCCACTGAAGTTGGGTAGTCAGTGGTTTATATTTCCTACTTCTGTCAGTTCATCTTTATCACTTACGCTTACAGCCTTACCTGGCCTTAGGTGAACTAAATTTAATCACAACATACGAAAGCTAACACAAATCAACGTTTATGAAGGTGTGATAACCGATATTTTGACTTCTAGATCATTCACATATTCTCTAGTGGATCGTTTTAGATATCGATTTCTGCTTAAGATGTATTTGAATGCCTTCATTGAATATTTTATGAAGATATATAGAGAAATTTCCCTGGCTTCATCAAATAACATTGTAATGACAATTTTTGTAATCTGGATGGGAACTATACTTTTAAAGTGGAGATATTATAGCCTAACTGATAGTTTTCAATAAAAAGACCTTTTTAAAGATTCATTAATCCTTACTGAAGAGATATTCAACAATCTGATTATATCAGTTTCTTCATAATCTCTTGTTAAAATGATATTTAGATGATGTAAGGGATAATTCTTGAGTGATGTTTCTAACTTCAATTTGATTTTATTTTACAATAAAAATGTTATCAATACACTGATTGTATAGTGAAACTTCAAAGATATTAACTAATCGACAATTTTTCATTGGTCTCTCAACTCTAAAACAAAGTGAAATCTTTGTAATATGTACTACTAATTGCTGTGACTACCTGAGAGACATTCTGACTCGTTAGCAGAATTATTTCTCTCCATTGGTAATGCAGAACATTAATGGTGCATATTGCTTTATATTGGCTGAGTTCTTTTAATCATTACAGAGGAAGTCATGCTAAAATTTCTCAGTCTACTATCTTCCATGAAATTGCTGATTGTAGTGGACTGGATCATGCAGCAAACAGTGAGGAGCGAGAAGAGGGGGATACGCTGCTAGATTGAGGAAAAGAACCTAGAAGATTTGGATTTCACCAGTGATGACTTGTGTCTAATGTCACACAAAATTGAAGATCTACAGACGAAAACTAACAAGTTGATAGAAGAGTCAGGGCACCGAAGAAGGGAGAAAATTCAAGTGAATATAGAGAAGACAGAGGTGATGATAATACCCAACCAACAACAACATCAACAACAAGAGGCACCAATCACCATAAATGGGAGAAACTTAAAGAAAGTAGCCTCCTCCACCTATCTGGGCAGCACTGTTTCAACTACAGGTGGCACAGACACAGGCACAGGCACAGGCACAGATACAGACGAGGTCGTCAAAATCAGTCAGGATCGGAAAAGCGAGACAGGCATTCATTGACCTGAAACCAGTGTGAAGATCTTCTACACTCAGCATAGAGCATGAACAACATCCGGATTTTCAACACTAAGTGAGTCACGTCAGTGCTCCTGTATGGCTTAGAAAGTTGGCGCATTACGAGAAGGATTTCCAACAAACTGCACACATTCATCAACAACTGCCATCTACGCTCACTCGTTACTGAAGATCGATGAGATGGCCAGAATAATAAGAATAGGCAGTAAGGAATTCTGTCTGGCAACGAACCAACGAAGCAAGAAGCTACTGCTGAACAAATATGTAATGGAAGTAAGTGTAGATGGAATGGGCATACACTGAGAAGTTTGACTGAGGACATCACACACCAGGGTGGGCCGTTGAGTGGAACCCAGATGGGAAGCGATGAGTTGGGCGTGCGAGGCGAGAGTGACATGGAGGAGATGGTGTGAGGAGTAAATGATAGCTTGTGGGCTATTGTGGAGCCAGGTTGAAAAGATTTCAGAGAAGAGAGAGCTGTGGAGACGTGTTACTGAATGTCTATATTCCATTAGGAACCCAAGGGACAAATAATAATAATAGTAATAATAATAATGATACTAATAATAATGATTTTATCCTTCCTTGTTTATTTCATCCAGGCCGAACAAACACCTCCCGATTGTTTTATTAAACGACCACCTTACAGTGTTAAAGAAGTCGTGAAATAAGTCAGATTATTATTATTATTATTGTTCTTCCCTTGGGTTCCTAGTGTAACAAACGGCTTCATTAGCACGTCACCATTTCACTCTTTTCTCCGCAATCTCTTCTCAACCTGGCTCTATGACTTTCCATTACCATTCATTTCTTCCTCACACCATCTCCTCCATGTTACCGTCGGATGCCCAACTCATCTTTTCCTCTTCGGATTACACTCGACGGCCTGGCCTGACGCGTGATGTCTCTGATTGCTTTCCTCAGTGTATGCCCAATCCATCTCCACTATCTCCACCTACATATTTCTTCAGCGATAGCTTCTTGCTTCGTTGGTTCGTTGACAGACTGAGTTCCCAATTGCTTATTCCTATAATTCTGGCCATCTGATCTTCAGTGTTGAGTGAGCGTAGGTGGCAGGTGTTTACGAATGTCTGTAGTTTGTTGGAAATGCTTTTCGTGACACGCCAAGTCTCTCAACCATCACATAGAACCACTGACTTGGCTGACATTAGTGTTGAAAATCAGGATCTTGTTGACGCTTTATGCTGAGTGGAGTGCAGTAGATCTCCACAATGATTTCAGGTTAATCCACGAAGGCCTGTCTTGCTGTCTTTCCGATCCTAACACTGACCTCCTCATTCGTGTCACCTGTAGTTGAAACGATGCTACCTAGGTAGGTGAGAGAGACACCTCCCCTCAGGTTTCTCCCGTTGATGGTGACTAGTGCTTGTCATCGTTGTTGTTGTTCTTGTTGTTGTTGGTTGGTTGGGCATCTTCATCACCACTGTCTTCTCTACCTTCATCTGAACGAAGTCTCGTCTTCCCTGCTCCGCTCTGCTCTGCTCTGACTCTTCTCTTCTGCCAACTTGGCAATTTTTCGCCTGTAAATCTTCAAACCTGTGTGACACAAGTCGTGAAATCGGTTGGACATTCAGTTATCTTTGGATTGAATCCTAGAAACAATTAATTGTATCATCAATGTTCACACAAAACATTTCTGAATCGACTTCCCCAACTGCACACTACTATGATAAGTGAATTCTTAACATTATCGATGCCTAATCCTTCAACATGCATACACATAACTATAGGATATGAAGAAGAACGTTATCATTCAAATATCCAGCTGGTATGCTCCACATAGAACTCAGGTGTGTGTGTGTGTATGTGTGTGGATGATATGAGAAGTGGAAGTGAAAAAAGCCTGAAATCATGGGTGTGTATTTGTCTGTATGTAAAAGGTGTGTAAAGAATATACCGAAGCATCGCATCATTAGGTGGTTCACTGATAGGCGTTACCTACAGTGTAATATATCCATTTAACTTGACCTATTTTCAAATATCCTAACTGTCTGTATGTACTCGTGATTACGGCCTTTGTAATCAAGCCGCATAGATTGAGAAATTAGTCAACAAATGATTCGAGTGACTGAACATTTTCATTCTTCGAAGAGGACATGGTTATAAACTAGTTTGCTATCAAAGCTGTTGATTGACAATGTAAAATGTTTTCCAACACAATCGATCGACAAAATACACAATCGAGGATCTCTTCTTTTCTTTTCTTTTTGTTAATATGTAACCAAATAAATAAGCACTACTAAACAAACTGCCTTCTCATTATATCAGACTGGGAGTGAACTACTTTTATACGTTGAAATTTGCCTGTGTGATGTTAGCAGAGATAACCAATTGCTGATATTCATCAGGCTGATGATGTTAATCACTTTCGTTGGGATGAAATAAAACTAACGTCTTGTATATTAATGATGGATAGTGGGTAGTTCTGTGATCTCTTGTATCTTGCCTATTCTCTCGTCTATTGTTCCTCATTCATTCCTTTCAGGGTTTCTCAAAAGGAATACGCTGCATTGCGTACATCTTTGAAGATTGTCAACAGAACTCTATACCTTCATTTTTGTGAAATTTTGGAAACTATTTCACTCGTTTGACACTGTATTCATCAGCTATGTACCCGGAATAACTTACCAAAAAATAGAGTCAAGCCGGTTCCTATTGCTTTGAACTACTCAACTTGTTTAGTAGTAGTATCTTCCGACTAACAAACATGTTATATCAAAAGATTGATTGATATCTTATTCATTCATAATTAACAAAATTGTTCTTCTTCTCTCTTTCTCTTTGCAACTATAATTTATAAACTTACAAAAGAAATTTTTCATCCCATGTTGGATTTAATTCTTGTAGAACAGTTTTTGTACGTTTACGATCTTTACCCACTTGTACTGTCACATAGGGATCACTTCGTCCAGTTTTATCTTTACCAATTAAACCTTGTGCAGATTTAACTTGATAATGGTGATAGCACCAAATAATAAAAACAATAAGAGAGGAAATAAAATGTCAAATTGGGATTAGTTGATATTCAAAGTAAAAA